CATCAACTTGAAGGGATTGCTTTGAATTCACAAACCAGAGGCCAAGAATGCCATGGAAACGGGATCAGGGTTCTAGGTCTAGTTCTGCAGCCTCTGTGATCTCAAATTTCCAGACTCGCTCTCGTCCACTCATCCCCTCCTTCAGTCCCTGTCATGACGCGCTTACCCTGAGCACAGCAACAGAGCAGGCTTGGATCGTGGACGTGTCCCAGGGCAAGGACAATGGGCTGTGAAACACTCAAGTCATGCCCCAGCTTACCTGCTTCCTACCCCCACCACCAGCACATAACTGCTGCTGTCATTTCTAGAGGGGTTAGCATATGGCATTCACTGTATGGGGCTTAAGGCACTGAGTTCTCACCCCGCCAGGCATGGCCGTTATGATTACCCCATTTCACAGATAAGTAAACTTAGGTCCGAAGCAAGGTTGCAGGATCGTACAAGTCCAAGCCATTCTACTTACTCCAAGTGTTGCCTGTGGTCCCTTCCACCCACGCTCACCTGCCTGCGCAGCCTTGAGGCCCGGAGGAGGGGTCAGCAAGCAAAGCTCAGGCTGTCTAGCCTTTTTCAATGATCTTTTCACTGCCTCTCTCACACTTGGTTTAGAGGAGGTAGTTAGATAAGAACATGGAGAAGTCTGGTGATAATCCTCAGGTTATTCTGGAATCTCCCTTAGTGTGTCTCCTCTACTCCCTTTTCATTGTGGTTTTTTTGTGTTCCATTCTCCCAGTCCCTTGGTCGGCAAACTGCAGCTCTTGAGCCATATGCAGCTTTTCGGCCCCTTGAGAATGGCTCTTCCACAAAATACCACGGCCTGAGCGAATCTATTTTGAGTAAGTGGTGTTAGAAGAAATTTAAGTTTAAAAATTTTGGCTCTCCGAAGAAATTTCAATCGTTGTACTGTTGATATTTGGCTCTGTGGACTAATGCGTTTGCCGACCACTGGAGAGCCCTGTGTGCAGGCTGGGAGGGGGAAGGAGCGCATGGTGGGTCAGGAAATGAAGCGGAAGCGACCCAGGAGGCGCCGCCCTGCATCTGCACGGCCTGGAGCCATTTCAGGGAAGAAGGGACGAGGCCTGGGCCTCACCTCCGAGGTGGGAGAGGCTGAGACCCCAGCCCTGGTGCCCACGGACTCACAGGAGGACGAGGGGGCTTCACCAACCTGCAGTCCCCCCTCAGGAGTGAGAAATTCGAATTCTTCCCACGTGGGGCACCTCAACTCTTCCCGCTGCACCTGCGAGAGGCGCCCCGAACACCTGGCTGGAGAGCAGCGGGCAGGGGCTCAGGGGCGCCCAGGAGCCCCCCAGGCGGGGAGGCGCCACGGCGCTTAAAGGGCCCGCGGCCACTGCCCGGCCAGCGCAGAGGCGCAGCCTGCAAAGCACTGGACAAAATTTGCTGCCAGAGCGCTGGCCCGCCAGAGGGCCACGGTGTGTAGGGAAACTCTCCAGGGGTGCTGAGGGGTGTTGTCTGTACCCTAGGACTTAGGAGCCACCGTGCCGTGCTCTCTTCCTTTCTGAAGCCCCAGGCTCCATTCCCCCCTCAAAGGGCACCATCTTCTCTCTCTCTCCCTCCCTCTAGGTCCTATGGGTAGCCAGGGTGCTGCACAGGCAGGCTGAATTACACCCCAATCTTTTTTGAATCCTTGGCCTGTTTGCTTGTCCAGGAGCTTTGGCCTGTGGCCACCCATGCAGGGCCCTGTAGAATACACTGGGACTCACTTTTGCCCCCTCTCTCCGCCTAGGTGTGGTGAGAAAGGAATTGACAGACTCATATAGAGCCCCTATTTTTGTGATCGTTGCGCAAGAGAGACCTCCAGATCTCCTGGTCTGGTGGCCATAGGACGTAGGCTTGTGTTGAAAGCTGCTGCCTGAGGGTCAGGCTTCCCAGCCTAAATCTAGAGGGGACACCGGCAGGACAAGTCTTTGCACACAGGTACTACTGCAGCCACTACAGCCACCATGAAAGAAAATAGGCTGCTCAGACAACCAAATGGTTCCAGAGGCATCAGGAGCCAGGGCAGGGGTGACAGGAAGGTCCATCTCTTAGATGAGGCCACTCCTTCAAGTCTGGGAGAGGTGGCTGCCTCGTCTAATACATAGAAACCAACACAGAGTAAAGCAAGATGAAGAAATAAAGGAATATGTTCCTCTACACACATGCCCCCTAAAAAACACCTTACTAAAACGGAGATAAGAAAATAAATCAGAAGAGCAAAGTGTGTACTTTAAAAAACAAAAACAAAAAACAACCATATTTCTATTGATTTCAGAGAGGAAGAGAGAGATAAAAACATCATTGATGAGAGGGAATCATTAATTGGCTGCCTCCTGCACACCCCCTACTGGGATTGAGCCCACAACCTGGGCATGTGCCTTGAATGGAATTGAAGGAACCCAGGACCCTTGAGTCCAAAGACTAACACTCTATCCACTGAGTCAAACCAGTATGTACTCCCCCTCCCCCCTTTTCCCCCTTCACTTATACCTGTGCTTGGACTCATATAATTCAGCAGTTTGTCTCAGAAGCACCCCGAGACACCCTCTGGACCCCTCTGTTCTAATAACATCTTCATGTAGTCCCAGGGTTTCCTTTATTCTTGGTTTCTTGTGGCTTGGGGTCCAGGAGCAGCTACCCAGTTGGCCATCGGACCACAACCCTGTGTGGTGGAGGTGGATGTGGAAGGGTGAGGGGATAAGGAGAGGACATGTTTCTGATAGCCTGGCTCGCCTTGGAACCGGAGCATTTACCAAGTTGAGAGAAATGTCTGTGCTCCTCTCTAGTACAGGAGTGTATGAGAGAGGCAAATGAGGATGGCGGTTTTCATTGGACACCTTAATACAGGGGAGGAACTCACCCTGCAGTCCCTCCAAATGTGTGTGTGCTCCTGTCTCTCTCACGACTTTCCTTTTGTGCTTTAGACTTTTGTTTGGGTTGCTCTCCTTGCTCAGAATGTCTTTTCTCCTCTCTCTGACTCTACTTATCCGTCAAGCCTCAGGCATCTGCTGCTTAGGACAACTCCCTCCATTCCGTGTGTTCCTGGCCCCAACACGCTCTCCCTATGAGCTCCCATAGCAACTGTACTTCTTTATACCTGATCATGTGTTTGTCTTTTCCAACAACTTGCAGGCTTATTCTTCTCAACTTCATTCCTAACAGATTGTCTGGCCTTTAGCAGTCAGTCAATAAATGTTTATTGAATAAATAAGCTGAATGAAGGTTTAGAGATGCAAATAAATTGAAAGCTAATCTTGTGAAACTCTAGTCCAGTCTTCTGACAAGCCTTCTCCAGGCATGTGACTTCTTTATTCACTGTTTCTGGCTGCAGTGCCATCTGCCTAAGGGCTGTGACAAGACTGGGCGATTATTAAGGTATTTTTTTTATTGATATGATAATACAAGCTAGCATATATCAGTTATTTCTATGTCCCTGGCTCCGTCCTAATAACACTGCATATATTAATCATTTAATTCTCACAACAATTCTATAAGGTAATCACCCCTGTTTTGTAGATGAGGAAACTGAGACCTAGAGAGGTGAAGCGGAGATCTGGCTCCAGCATCCAACTCTCAGCTGCTTTGCTTCTCACTGTGGACAGAGGGTTGAACCTTCATAACCTCGGTGGGTTCTGACTTTGAAAGGTGGACGTAGGTCACAGGAAGGAGTACATACTCCTTTCTTCTTCTTTGTCTGTCATCCCATGATTTCATTAGGCTCGCCTTTACCATACATAATAACTCTTACATGCATACACCAAGCCACCATACCTCTGCAACAAGTATTGTTATTTTACCCTTTTCTGAATGAGCAGGGTTCCAGTTGTAGGTGTTGCATGAGTGCAGTAATTATGCAGTCCTGATGAAATGCAGAGTAGCTTGGACTGTAAATGAGATGGTACATTAACTCATGCAGCCTGGGACAGAGCAAAAACATTGCTTTTCCCCCACAACAAATCTCTAAAGAGCTGACTGTCTCTTTTAAGCTCTTTGGTTTGTGGGAAAAGTAGATCCTTTGGGGGGGGGGGGGAGGAAGGGGGACCTATTATGCTTGGAAATAGGGTGGTCTACTCTACTCTAAAGGTTAGCTGGAATTTCTGTTGGAGCCACATGGTGATCTCTGTTGCAGATCTGAGCTCATTACACAGTGAGGCCAAAGGAAGAACTTATCAAGCAAGCTTTGAAACTCAGTATATTTAGTTGAAAAATCATAAAATTGAAGAGGAAACTATGAATACAGTAGAGGTACCTGAAAAGGTTCTAGGGCTTCCCAGGGCGATGACAATGAATACCCAGATTTTACAGAGCTTAAAAACCAATTGAGCACACATATTTTTTAAAGAATGCCATGGAGATTTTGAATATTTTAATATATTTTCATGTGTGGTTATTTCCATATCCACTGTTAGGGGAAAAAAGAAGTTATTTATAGTTATTGGAGCAAGGATAGAGACTGAAATATCTATATGGGTTTTGTTCCAGGGACAGATTCTGGAATAGACTTTGCTGGCAAGAGAGGAAAGACAGGTTTGTTTTTCTCTAAATGTCTTTAAGAATGGGAGACCCATCTTATAATTTAGTAGGAGTTCAGCTTGGAGGCAAAGTGATTGACTAAAATTTTAATATGCTGTATGTATTCTGTGAAGATTAGTCTCCGAATTTAATACAATATGATTGTGACCAACATGGCCAAAAGCAAAGAGTCAGAAAAAGAGTGCCTCCCAAAAGGCAAAAAAAAAAAAACCCCACTAAGACTTAATTTGCCTAAGTAGAAAATATCCAATAGATAGTCAACTGGCAACTCTCAGTAGGAAAAAAACAAGCTAACAATGGTATGTAGGTGGATTTTCCCCCATCCTATCATAGCTCCCTCCTGGTGAGTGCTACAATTCTAGGTGAATTGATACTCCTCCTTTATCTCATCTTCTTCCGGGGAGATTGTATTTGTGTGTGATGTGTGTATTGTACTATGGTCCTATACAGTATTAAAATTTCAAAGTAAAATAGACAGGTAGAAGACGTTTATTGACACTGACCGAAACATGTACAAATATTTCCGAAGAACAAGCTGAAAACATTTTCTGGTTTGTTTTTTTTTTTTTCACACAGAGACCCATATTACTCCGAGGACAGAACATAACAGCTTTCCTTTGTGGAAAATCACAAACAGGCAGTAAGCTTTGCTGAGAGAGCAGTTCTTGTCCTTAAAGAACTGCAGGGAGGGATTCTGCTAGTGAGCAGCAGTTGGTGCTCCCAGGCCTGGCAGGACAGGACCAGATGAGGGGAGTGAGGGCACGACTGGAGTTTCACTATTTACAGCAAAACGGACCGTGCTGGAGCTTTGGGTCTGGGCTCTCTTGAAAGATGTGGCTTGAAAAACAACCAGCACTGGGTCTGAGAAAGTGCATCTGCAAAGCATGTGGCCCAGGTCATAAGAGTCCAGATTGTGTCCATCGCAGAGTGGCCTTCCGCTCAGCACAGTGTCCAAATAGCGCAGATGGGCTACACCGTGACTGTGGCAGGTCACCTCCAGGAGCAATCCCTGTTATGTTCCAAAGAGCAATCAGCATGTGAAAAGTAATCAAAAAAAGGCCTTCCCCACTGCCTCCTGGGTCTCTGGGGCAGTGAGGCCACTCTCTGTAACCAACTGCTGTGATTGTGAAAGTTTGCCCATCATGAATATCATTCTTTCCATTCAAATTGCTTCATCTGGGTCTTAAAAAGCATTTCAAAAACCAGATGATTCAGTAGAAAATACAATATGCAATTTTAGTCCAGAGTCAGAACTTTGAAAATATTTCTGCTTATCCAAGTTAATGTCTCCTCCAGAACTCTGAAATTAGGTATGGTGAGTTAACGATTATACAAACAGAGCTGCTTTCAATAATTTAATTATTAGACTCATGCCCCCCCAAAGGGAGTCTGCATGAAATATTAACTATTACTCTTAAAGTAATTTAGACACAGTCACACACATATCAGGAAAGGAAAATAAAAATTCTCCCCAAAATGCCAGTGTTCTGTTTTGTAGGGAAAAAATAATGACAATACAATTAGAGGTAAACAATATTTTCTTCGGCTCCATCTCCAGTTTCCCCATCTTGCCTGGTCAGTGTTTGTAGATTTAGCTTTGCTTCTGCTATACACATCTGCAGCTCAGGGCCAGGTGGGTTTGAGTCAAGAGGGGTTGGAAACTCAGCCTCTGAGATGTCCAAATCTGCAACAGACAGACAGCACAGGTCACAGGGGAGTCACCATGAGACCCGCGAGGCAGGTGAACTCTGACTCAGCCAGCCACAAGGAGAAGGGTGGAATCCAGTGAGAAAGAAACAAAACAGGAATCTAATGATCTAATTAGTATGATTAAGATATACTTACTTGTGTGTACAAATGTCTCCTGTGGCTAAACATAACCTTCATAAAATACTCCTAGGGACGTGTCAAATAAACAGACTTGTCACCATTTGTGGGCTGGGAAAACACTATTGCTGCGAAAGGGTAATACCTATTTTGTATTTATTTACTTACTTATTTTTAAAATCTGTTTATATTTTAGAGAGAGAGGAAGGGGGAATAGAGAGAGAAAAAGAAAGGGGGAAGAGAGAGAGAGAGAGATCAGTTGTCTACTGGACAAACCCCGACCGGAGACAGAACCTCCAATCTGGGCATGTGCCCTAATTGGGAATCAAAACGCAATACTCAACCAACTGAGCCTCTCCAGTCAGGTTGGTACCCATTTATTTTTTAAAAATAGGTTCAAAATCTTAGAAATACAGTGCATACTCTAGCTGCACACAATTAACTATATTTTTATCTGCATAGCACCTTCCTCCAAGTATCTCAAAATCAAGAATTAACCTCAAGACAAATAACGTATCTGGGATTTTGTTGATGTGGGTAAGGGATGTGGAGAAAGGAGTTGAAGGATGAAAACCCTTTAGCCTCACCATTATGCAAATCTGTTAACATTACACAAATCACTTAGCAAGAGTAGCCAGGTTCCTAGGGAACATCGTCCCAATATTGCAATGGTTTTTTTCTGTTACCTAGCAACAGCAGGGCACAGTCTATTTTCCTTTTTTTCTTCTTCTTCTTCTTCTTTTTTTTTTCTTTTTTCTGGTAAAACCCTCTAATAAATGGCTTTAAAAGAAAGGCAAAGGGGGGTAATGATTTGAAGAAAAAAAAGGCTCTTGCTGCAAACCATTTTCTTTGCACTTGTTCCATTGGCCATCCTCCCCCGGGCTCAGCTATGTGGCAAAATGACAAATAACCAGCTCCAGTTGGAGCAGACAGCAGAGTGTGCGTGGAAACACAGGTGGGGAAGATGTGTAGCCCGGGGCCCTCCTGCTTTTTCTCCAGTCATTAACAAGACGCCATTATAATCCTTGCCACATTTACTCAAAGCCTCTATTATTTAGATGGATACACATAACTGCTGGCATCCTAAGGACAAAAATGCTTGTGACTTTTGCCCTCCTGACAAGGATCTTCGGTTGTTAGAGAAAGCGGAAGGAAGGCCTGGCAGGAATGAAGAGCAAAGTGTCCTCACAAGGCTCCTGGGAGAGGGAGGGGAAGAACAAGGCTCCTGGGAGAGGGAGGGGAAGAGGAGGGGGGAGGAGAGTCTGCACTCCACACTCAGCTCAAAGGTTTAGGCCATCCATGACTCTAGATGCCACCACTGCAGCCCAAAGAAAAAGCAACCCATTTACACTGAAGTGACTTGGTTTTACTGACCTCGAATCCAGATCCTGTGCCTCGAACACTGAACTCACTAAACTACTGAAAACACACCCACTGAGGATGCCTCTGAAGTCCATCCACCGAGTCTAGAGTGCTTCGTCTGAGGCTGTCCCAGGTCTGACGTCCTTCATTTAACCAGTAAACACACATACACCCTCAGGCGATGATCTCATTGTCAGAGCAATATAAATCAACCTAGAATGTCCTATGTCCTAGCTCACCGCATTAGAAGACAAAGTGTGCCTGTGTGGTCACAACACACTTTCACGATTTCAACTGTTTTTCCCAGCCATTGAATGAAGGTCATTTCACCTCTAAAAACAAATATTCCCGGTTGAATTCCTGATGTTTAATATTACACAATCTTAAAAAAAACACTAAAAAAACACACACACACAAACTCCAACACTTCCATCCAGCAGATGTGGCACAGCTCACTGAGACACTGCAGTGCTTCCTCCTAGCCAGCAGACAGGCAGTCAGGGCACAAGAATATGACATAGAGAACGAACCATCACCCATTGAATGAGGCGGTCAGGAGGTGAGTACTGACAAATGGGACAATGCCAGGCACAATGGAAGCCAGTAATCCATGTAGTTTCCTTCCTCCGAGTGTGAACACTTTAGCAAGGAATCTATTGTAAAATGCTGGTGAGTCTTAGGTATTTGGTAAGTCCCCTTAATGGTTTCAAGAGAAAACTCATTCAAAAAAAGCCAAATATATATCAGAAAGAATTCTTTTATCTGCCATATCCCTAGTTCGGGGAGACAGGAAAAACAAGAATGATTGGGGCAAGAGGGGGAATTAATGTGTGCGTGTGTATGTAAGGGGGTATAGAAGTTTAATCAGAGTTTTTTCAAATAAGAATAAAAATACACTTCTAGGCAAGAACTTACTGGACCCTAAAGTGAATGGCCCATGTTGTAATCCCAGATGTATTAATGGAGGTGGCTGTGGTGTGTCACCTGGAGAGGAACTCAATTTCCTTCTACGTGTTCCTTCTTGGTTTCTACCTGGACTATTTAGGCAAGGTCTTTGAAATTGAAAACCGTTCTGTGATTTCTGGTTTTATTATTCCACTTCAACCCTGAGAGAACTCCAACACAGCAATTGTATATTTCTCAAGGTCAGTCACCTTTTTCCACACTTTTTCCTTAGAAAGCGTAATCATCATATAGAACTTCAAACTCAAAAAACATTTGTTAAATAAATCCTCACGGATTCAGAAAGCAGAATTCTTAGGGAGTAAAATTAATCATCCTATTTGATTTGTGACCAAAATGCCTGTACATTGCTGGACATAAAAATAGAATACCTCATTTTTCAAATGAGCAAAGAAAGAGTAATACAGTCATTATTTGGGCGACTAAAAGCCAAATGCTACTATAATGAAACAAACTTGAAACTACAAAGAACTTTTCAATCTAGTGTCTCAACACAACTTTCCCCCTTAGTTGACATAAAAGAACTACCTTCTCATTCCTCTGGAAATTAAACAGAGTGAGCATTGTTGTCCTTAAAATAAGGACACATAAGAGGAAAGACATAAAAGCCCAAATGCCCCGTTAAACCAAGTGGAGCAGTAGAACCTTGGTGCAGGGTTTTTGCTAGTTAACTCAACTTCTATTCTGAGCCTAGAACTCCATCCTTCATGGGAAATTTCCTTAGACCCATTATGGAGTCTTCGGAAACCTCCTGCCCTCGTACATTCCTCAGGGTAGGATTTGGGAAGCTGCCTAATAAGTAGGAGGTAATGACCACAGGGGAGACCTGTACTGGATCTTTCCCTTTTTGAACAGCCAACATAGGGTAACTTGTGATAAAGAACAGGTTTGTGACAAGTCAGAAAGGGTTGTCTACCATTTAAAAATACTTAATTAACATAGTCTTTGCTGTTGTCTGCACTTTCTGAAAAGCATCTTAAATCATGATCATTTTTAAACAAAAGCTTATTGAAAGCACCATGATGAAGATCAACTCCCAAGGTCTGAGCGTGGCTCCACAGTGCACCCCATGACCAGCACCAGCAGCCCAGCACGACAGAAAGGATGCCAAGTCTACTCTTGAGATTACTGGTGATGCCTCGTTCAGCCACGTCTCTTCCTGTTCCACTCTCCCCAACGAAACTCACAGGACAGAGGTTCACGTCTTCTGGGTCTTGGCTCTGTTCTTGTTTATTTTAATGAATCATTCTGACTTATACTTATTCCTCTATCCCTTGTGCATGTTCCTAAAATCAAAATTTACACTCCCCTAAAATAACTCTACCTCCAAAAAATGTTGTCATTAATGTTCCAAGTCTGCAAAGTAAGTTGTTTCCCCTACTTAATGATTAATTCGTGCTTATACTGTGAAACATTTAAAAAATCGTTTCCTGATGGCATTACTGGCAATCACTATTTTTTCCTCAGGAGCACTAACGCACAGCATTTTCCTTCTAATGGAAAACATTTATTTTACAAAGCGTGAGGTGTCTTTGGAACAAAGGAAAATTGGTCTCTGTCCCTCATTTTGCTCAACGCCATTTTCCGTAGTAAGCCACAGACAGGATGTGAGCCTCTGGCATGAAAACCACGCTGGAACTGCTATCTGAAACCAGCGCTCTCCATGGGTGATATGATTCCCTCTACTATTCCTCGTGTCCCAATACTGCACCTGAAATAAAATAATCAGCATGAGCTCTGGAGAGAGAGAGAGAGAGAGAGAGAGAGAGAGAGAGTGTGTGTGTGTGTGTGTGTGTGTGTGTGTGTGTGGTTTGCATGTGTATGGTTAAGTTTATAATGTAAGAAAGCAAATGACTTTTTTTGTTTTTGTGACTATTAGAATTGGGCTTTAGTTCTTTATCAGTATTTAACGTATTTGGAGTAACCCAAGTTGTTTATATAGGTAATGCTGACAAGAAACACAGCAATTGCAGCAACCAATTCAATGAAGATGTGACTATATTAACGCAAGTCATGTTATGAAGTGCCAATTCTCTCTGCTATCTGAATCACACTCTTCTTTCTCCCCAGAGGGTGCCAGTGCTAAGGAATCAGGACCTTCACATCAGCAAACTCCGTGGGAGGATGGGGCAATTGCTTCTACCTCCGCCTCTTCCCTGAGATACATTTCAAACACTCTTTCTTTTTATTTCAGAAAGGTATGTTTCTCTAAACAGGATTCTTAATGGGCATTAATAATAAAAGAATAGAGTGGTCAAGTAAGTTGATGAAATGCTGGATAAATTAAGGTTATTGACAGAGTCCTCAGAATTTTAACAGGTTCACCTGTATTATAAATCTCAGAGGGAAAAACAGAACGTGGGCCCGGCTGGTATGGCTCAGTGGATGAGTGTGGACCTATGAACCAGGTCACAGTTTGATCCCCGGTCAAGGCACATGCCCGGGTTGTGGGCTAAATCCCCATTGTGGAGCGTGCAAGAGGCAACCAATCAATGATTCTCTCTCCCTTCCTATCTGAAATCAATAAAAATA